TGCAAGCACACTAACTGTATAAAACAGATAAATTGAATAACTTATAATATTGAAATAAATACTACAATAGAAAAAGTTTGTTAATAAGTGCAAGAACACGAATAAAAGCTAATACTAAGTGTAAATATTGAAATGAAATAGATAAGTAGAAGTGATAAAGAAGAGAATAACAAGAAAATCAAAAAGAAAGAAAAAAAGCAAAGAAATAATTTTGTGGAATAAATAACAAATTAAAAAAAAGAAATTGTAAAAAGAAAGAAGAAATAGAAATTAAAAGTTTTTAATAAAAAGCATATAATTAAATAATAATAGAATCTATGTTTATTATTCTTGAATCAGGAGGAGAATAATATCTTCAGTGAGTCTTCATGTAGTTCAACTACATATGTTTGGTTGTGGTAGAACCAATATTCAATGATATCAATAAGTTTTTAATTACATAGTTTTTGATTTCTTTTTATGATATTAATATCATTCTTTAATTATTTAATTATTTTATTGATTTATTCATTTATTAGCCCATTAATCGAAATTACTACTGCAATTATTTTGATATCCTTTAATTTCTCTATTTTAATTACCATATTTTTCAATTCTTTGTACATATTTCTTTTCTTCAAATAGCCTCCATTAATATTATGATCTGCCACAATAGTCATATCAATTATTAGACCAGTTTTATTCTTTTTATCTAGTACATATATGTCTGGTCTTTTATGATATAGTCCATCACTTTTTGGCATTATTTGTTTGTTCCATATCATAGTGATGTCATTGTATTGGAACACTGTTTCATATGGGGGTTTCTTGTATTGTTTATTTCCTGTGTATTTTCTTATTATCCCATACGATAATACCAATATGGTCATGTTTCTTCATCTGTGATTTCTTATGACCAATACAAGATAGTAGAATGTGTTCTACTGTGGATATCTTGTATTTACAAAGTGGATAGTATTTTAATCTTTCATTTTTTAATATTTTATCTTTCCTGTACCCACTAAATATTGCTCCATCTTGTATTTTAGTTAATTGGAGAAATGCATTTTTCTTTATATTGATTGACTTCCATGCATTGATTGTAGTAGTTTTATCTACCCCTTTTGACTCGAACCATCTTCTAAAATGTCAACTTGTTTGATTTCAATTTTTTGATGTATTGGTTGTCATTAATTTCTTTATTTTTAATACTACTTCTTTTTCTTTTTTATTTTCAATAAATTCATTTATTATTTCTTCTATTTTCGTTTCTGGGATTTTATGACCTAGGGCTTTTTTAATTCTATTCCATATTCCTTTCTTGGAATACCATCTATCTATTATGTTATTTCCTATTTCACTCTTGTACAATAGTACATTACTGTTCTAATTAATTCAATAACATATTCGTCATTTAGGCTTATTAATCCTTCACCAATTTCATTTATAGGGACATATAGATGGTCTTTGGAGTTACAACAATGTATTTTGCCTTTCTTAAATATTTTCTTATCTCAAAATCCATTCTATCTAAGTTACATTCCAATTTACTACTGATGCTGAATATCTGAAGATGGGTATTACTTCAGTATTAATTCTTGTAATGTATCTTCTATTACTACAATTATCAGTATTTATTTCTTCCATTTTCTTCATCATCTTTTATTTGATGATTTTACAATTGAAGGTATCATTAATTTCATCTGACTGCCATACACCTAAATATTTATACAAGTCCTCTCCTTCAATTAATTTGATGTTTTGCATTCCATCTGGTATTTTATTAATGTTCTTTAATACCATTCCTGATTTCTTTTCATTCATTTCCATCCCTATTCCACTTATTATTTGTTTAATTTCATTGTGGATTGTTCCCATTTCTTCACTACTTTGTGTCATTATTCTCAATTCATCCATATACAATGTATGGTTTGCTTCTGGGAACTTCTCTTCTATGATTTGAGAAATTATATTCATTTTGATGATGAAGAGTAGAATTGATAATGAATCACCTTGTAAAATTCATCAGTTTAATACATCCTAGATATTCATTATATTTATATCCTATGAATATCTTCCATCTGTTCATCATACTTTCTACAATGTCTATGATGACACCCTCTACATTAAAATATTTAAGTGTTTCTATTACCCATTCATGATTTACTGTTTCATATCATTTCTTAATATCATAATATGACTCTACATATTTTGTGTATTTCTCTTCTTTTTACTGCTTTAACATGCAACTATTAATTATCCTTCTTTATCATCAAGAGATTGCAGTTTACATCCCAATTGATTTTTACTAATTTTAAATGATTCACTATTCATGTTAATTCTATTGTGAATCTTCTCTTTCAATATGGAGGTAAATACTTTCATTATTACATTTATACAACTGATAGGACGATAATTAGTGACATCGTTCATATCACCTCCTTTGTGGATTAATATAGTTCTTCCACTTACCATATCTAGAGGGATGTTTTCGGGGAAGTTTAACCATTCATTGAAGATATTAAGAATGGACTCTCTTGATGATGACATTCTCTTCCAATAATACCCATATATAGTGTCAATACCTGGTGCTTTCCAATTACTTATTTTCATCAGGCTTAAATTTAAATCATCCAATGTGATGATGACATTATCATAATTCCTGTATCTTTCATTCCACGAGGTGATTTGATTTATTTTCCAATGTTCCTTATTTAATATCACCTGTGTTTCATATAACGATTTCAAATATTCTAAAATAATATCGTTATTTGGGTATATTTCATTTTGTGTTTCTTCTTTATTTTAATTTTGTTATTAGAATCAAACATAATTTTATTTGTATTGATTCTGATAATTTCATTCTTATTAAATTTAATTCTTTCTTTAATCATCGTCATCATATATTTTATGTACTTTATTCTTTCTTGTGCTTTGATTTTAATTTCATCTGTATCTTGTTCATTTAATCTCATGATGCATTTTATTCTGTACCATTCCATTGATTAGATCTTCTATTCTATTTATTTTCCTTAGGATTTCTTTTATTTCATCAAATTTATCTCCTATAAATTTATTTTGGAGATAGTAATACATACACATTGAAATCATTTTCATATCTTCTTGTAGATTTTCTATTCTCCTGACCATACCCATTTATTATTTATTTCTCTAATTAATTTATCTGATTCTTTCCTTCTCCAGTAGTAATTAATATTTACACATTTATCTATTTTCATTTCTTTAACTTGATTGATGATAGAGTTAAGATATTCATCATCAATATCAATAGAGTTATTTTTTATGATAATGTTTTTTATTATTGGGTTACACTCTACTTTCCCTTCTATGATGGAGTTCACTTTCATTTTAATATATCTTTTAGTTGTTTCTTTTATTTTATGTGAATTTTTAATATTATTAATGTATTCTTTATCATTATTTACATTATTATTTATTATTTTTATTATGTTTTCTATTTGTTCATTTCTTAATTTATTATTTAATTTATTATTTAACCAATTAATTGCAAATCAATACAATACATCAATTAAAATTCTATTTGTTTGATTTATTGTGTTTTCTTCTCTTCTTGATTGATTATCATTTCTTGTTTTTTGATATTCAGTGTTTTGCTCTCTTCTATTTCCAGAATTGTCTTTTTCATAGGGGTAGTTTGGTTCATTTGTATTGTCCCAGATGATGATGTTCTCAGTATTTGTTGGTATTTATCACTAGAGTCATTGTTTTCTTCTTCTCCAGTTCCTTCTGGGATAAAAAATTTTCGATATTTTCATGTTGTTTTGATATTAATTGGTTTTGTTCTTCATTTTCTCTTTGTGTATGGTCTAATTCCTCTTTTGTTTTTTCTGCAATCTCATAGTTTTCAATTCCACTTTTTTGATATACAGAGATTTAATTTTCTTTATCTCTTATGTTCTTCTCCAGCAGCTCAGCACTCTTCTCTAGCTCATCAGCCTTCTTCTTCTCCAGCTCAGCACCCTTAAGGACTTCGTCCTTCTCCTTCTTCAGCCTCTCACAGCTAGCTCGGAGTGTGAGGTGGTTTCATCCTTACCTCCTAATTCTATGTTCCTTCTACCATTTGCTTCATTAATTTTTGATTGTAATGTATTATTTTATTATTTTAATTTAGAGTTTTCTTTTCTTATTTCATTACATGTAGTTTGAATATTGTTTATTTGTGTTTGAATCTTTTTTATTTCTTCTTCAATCTCTTTCCTGACTGTTTCTCGTGCTTTTTGAATCATTTCATCTGAAATGGTTCGTTCTTATTCATTCTTTTTTGTTTGAAGTTCTTTAATAGTTTCTTCTAATTCTTTGATTTTATTTTGAAGTGTGTTAATTTATTATTTGTTATATTCTTCTTCTTTATCTTATGTTTTTTATTTATGTTATTTTTAATTTATTATTATTGTACTTTTATTTTATTTCTTTGTTTTTTGTTTTTGATTCATTTTTCATTTCTTTTAATATCTTCATCATTTATTTTGCTTTTTATTTGAATTCTTCTTTGTTTTTCTTTATTATTATATTATTTATTTATTGAATATAATTCTTGGAGGATATTATACATTTTCTTTACCTTCATACTTTTTAAGTATTTCTGAATATTTTCATTTCTCAATTTCACTTCTTATTCTTTTAATTTTCATTTCAATTTCATTTATTGTTAATAATTTAGATTTCTTATTTGTATAATGTTTATTATCATTATATTTACTTTGTTTTTTATTTGTTTTTGTTTGTGTTCTTCTTTTTCTATTCACTTTTCTCTTATTATTTCTTTTATCAATATTATGCATTTTATTGTTATTGAAGTTCTTTCTTTTCTTTGAACCTGAATACTGTTTGTTGTTTGATTTTCATTACAATACTCTATTACATTATTCAGTAGCCATGGCAACAAAATATGATATATATTCTGAATTGATAAAAGGATATAAAGAGAAGAAAGAAAACAATCAAAAAAAAGAAAAAAGGAGTTGAAAAGTCAACAAACAATGACCATTGAAGAGATAGAGAAAGAATTATATCACTTTAAATCATATCATGAAATTACAAATAATAGCATTAAAATGATTTGTCCTAATGAAATAAGTTATAGAAATTATGCAATTAAATATTATTGTAAGAATCAATTTGAATATAAAGCTGAACTTGGTAAAATCTGTCAATTAAATGAAGAGAAATATTACAATAAATTAATGGAATATAGTCTTCAAAAGATGATGCCTTATCCATATCATTTAATTGGTATTGGATTCTTTAATTCAATAAACCATTCTGATAAACTTAATCCACCAAAATACTATGCTCAATTAATTAAAAAATTGTTAAATGAAGGACTTCCATTTGATAGATTGCCAGCATTTACTGCTCGTGATGTTTTTAGATTTCTTGGAGTTTCAAGGAATCAATTTACTGAAATAGCAAATAGATTTAAATCAGAAAAAAGAAAAGTTTGTTTTATTTTATTTAGTTTTAAAAGGAATTAAGACAAATAAAGAATAATTAATCATTAGTTATTATCAAGAAAGTTTCCACTTAATTTTGAAGTAAAACAACCAAGTTTTGTTATTTCTTTTAAGATTAGAAGAGAGTGATTATTTGAAATAAACTAATTAAAATAGATTGTCAACCATGGTGGATAATAAGAACATACTCAAATAATAATGAAGGAAAATTAACTTTTAATGAAAAATTTGTAAAAGATTGTTTAGACAAAGAAATATATTTATCAAATGTATTTATTATTATTCGAATTGAAGAAAAAGATTCATTTATACCAATTATTCATGACAACATTATTATTACAAGAACAACAAAGATGGAATATATTTATTATCGTATTTTATTAATTATAGATGATAGACTTACTGTTAAAGATCTTATATCAATTCTTATTGATCCAAATGATCGTTTAATGTTACAAAAGAAAGGAGAAATAATGAAAGCAATATCTTATTTGGTTCGTCTTAATAGATTAAATAAAGTTGAAATTAGAGATATTCAATATAATGGAATAACACCACCAACACCTCGACTAAATCAACAAATAAAGAAAAGAGTTTGTTTTATTGTAGATGAAGCAGTAGTTTCTACTTTAATGACTGGAATTACTAAAACAGATGATATCAAAAGAATTGTAGTTCATCTTTTTGAAACAGGAAGACTTACTAATGATCAAGTATATGCACTTATATGTCTTATTGAACTTCTCAAAACACAACCATGTGCAAAAGATTCAAGAGCACACTATAAAAAGTTTTTTAATGTTGCTAATTCATTAGTAAATGTAATAAAATCATTACAACAATTAATCTGTAATGAAGAAATATTTGGATTATGTGATGGAATTGAAATAGTAAAAATGGAATGTTTAAAATATTTAACTGAAAAAGAAAGTTATAGAAAGAAATACACAAGTGCATTAATTGGTTCTAATAGTAAAATTATATCATGTCAACATTCTCCATTTTCACCTCAATTAATACCACATTCTGTACTGTCTAGTTATTTATTTACAATATTTTTAAATTATAGTTATAATAGTGGAAGTTCTACGTTAGTTCTTCCTAAAGGATCATTTCTTCAATCTCTTCCAAACAATTTAATCAATTTAATTTCATTCTTTCAACTACTTTTACACATCGTCAAGACATTGTTTCTAATTCAAGTGCATTACTTTTTATAAATGAAACATTAAAATCAGAACCAATTATTATTCGTGGTTTACAATTTAATAAATCTCATTATGAAATGGATTGTTATGATGAAAACCAACAATGTGTCAACACATTACCATCACTTTTAATTGAAAAGAGTAAAGAAGAAATGTGGAATGCTTCATCTGATATTATTCAAGTATTCTTTCAATTTCTTTCTAAATATGGATTTGATTATAATTCATTGAACAACCAATGTATTTTGAAAGAAGACATGTTGTTGTATCCTTCTCAACCTATTCTTTTTGAAAAACAATTAATTAAATAATTTATTATTTATTCTTCTTTGTAAGAGAGAGAGACATTCAGTTAGTTATTTCAAATAATGAATAGAACTTAACAATAAATTAATGAAACAAATTGTCAACAAACAACAATGATTTGATTAAGATGAATTGTTAAATAAAGAAACAAGAAAAAAGAAGTTAAAATGATGAAGAATCATAAAAATATAGTCAGACATCCTAACATCACCTCTTAAATCTTTCTTCTGAAATTTCTTTCATTAGATTAATTCAAGTTGTTCATTGTACACTTGTTTCCAAATGTTTGTCTCCCGTTGGTGTTGTTGGTTATTCATTCTTCATCCTATTGTCTTGTTGTTAATTTTAAGACGGATAATGGATTGACTGTACTATAGAAATGATCCTAAGAGTACGGTCTGCTTTTTATTTTTCTTTCTCCTTCTCTTTATTCTCTCTTTATTCATTTCTTAATTATGACTTATTTTTAGGGTTTTTACTATATTTCTAATTTATTTTAAACTATTATTATTTTCTTTGATTATATATCTCTTATCACTTTGTTCATCTTTATCAATTCCTTTATAAACCATATTTGATTATAAAATGAGTGGTAGTTGTATGTTAGTTGATGAGAGTACAAGTATTAAATAATTTTCATACAATTATTATTTGAATAAAATTGATTTTATATTCAATAATATTTAGTATTTTATCATCATATCAGAAATATAAATGAATAAATTGCAATCTGAAAATCAAAAATGAAGAGACAAGTCTTAAACTTCTAATTGTACAATGTGAGTATTGTTAATGTTTTTATTTTCTTATCTAGATTTACAAATATAATTTTTCTTTTCAATACTTTTTCTTGTAACTTTTCCCATTCTTTATTACTACTTTTTTATATACATCAATAAAATAAACATCTAAATATTTGGTGATTCTTAGAATGTTATGTGTGTTATATTAACACATACTGAAACATTAATATTCTATTTTATTAATTGTTAGTGGTATATTTATAATACTAAATTTATAACAATTATAAAAACAATACCATTCAATTGATTTAACTTCGTTCACTTAAAATGAAACAAGAGAAAATGAAGAGAAAGAATGATATAAAAGAAAAAAGTGAAATTAAGAAGTAGAAGAAGATAAAAAAGAATAAAAGTAGAATGTTGAGAATATAAAATGAAAGAAAATAAAAAAGAATAATTCAAAAAGAGATAATAAAAGATGAAAATAATGATGAAATAATCGATGTATTTTTATTATAGAAATTAGAAATATACAATAAAAAAGTGTTTAATATATTGATGCAAATTATTTAACATTATTTTATTGATATAATTTATTTTATTCATTTTTATTTTTATAATTTTTATTTATATTATTATTTATTATCTTTTTTTGTTCTAGAAAATATAAAATTTGAAATATAATTTGTTGAATCAAAATAATTAGAATTGATAATACATCTTCATAAAATGAAATTATAAATATATTAACATTTATAATATCATTAACAATATTAATATAGAATAAGTGAAAAAAAGAGAATCTGTTTATCAAAATAATATTGAAGAAAATATAAACAAGATAAAATATTAAACAAGAAAAGAATAAATAAATGAAATAAAAGAGAATGAACAACAGAATAATATATAAGAGAAGTTAGATATACAAAATATGAAATGAAAATACAGAAAATAAATAAATTATTATTCATAAATAACAATATGAATAATGAAAGAAATAAATAAAATACATAATATGAATAAAATAGAAATAAAAGAATAAGATATAAATTATTGATAAAAATAATATAAATTATCAACATCAATCATCATAAAGAATAATTAAAATAATAATTATGAATAATGATAAAATAACAATAGAAATATAATTAAAATATGAAATTAAAATATAAAATGATGAAATAAAATATAAATATAATTAATTATAACAACATTTAAATTTAATTATAATAATTTAATATTCATTTTCATGATAAATAGATAATAATAATCAAATAATAATAAATAATAAATAAATTTATAGAGAATAAATAATAAATAATAAAATAATATTTATTTCATTATTTCATTGTTTTATATTTATTTTATTTATTCAAACATATTTATTTATATTTATTTTATTTAATTTGAAATATTTATTCATTATCATATTTTATTAATATATTATTTTGATTATTGATTATTTTAAAATAAATAATGAATCATTATTTAATATTTATTTTCATTTATTTATTCGTATTTTATATAATTTCTATATTTTATCTATTTATTTCTTCATAAAATAATTTTATTTAATAAATGATGATTAATTATTGAATATTATTTGATTTATTTTGAATATTAATAAAATGAAATTTATTTAATGATATGAATGATGAAATGATATAATCAAGATATATAATCATTAAAATTTATATTATCATTTATTTTTATTTCTTTATTTTCATTTTTATATCTTCTTATTTTTAATTTTATTCTTAATTTTAAAAATATATTATGTTTTGTTTATTTTATTTATTATCATTTTATTATTTATTATTTATTTTATATGTTTATGTTATTTTATTTTATTGTATGTTTATTATTTTATTCTTATTTTTATTTTTATTTGATATTATTTTGTTATTTTGTATGTTAAATTGTTTATAATTATATTATTATATTATTTAATGACATATTTTATTTATATTTATATTTTATATTATTATTATTGTATAATTATTTGATTATAATTTATTGAAATGATTTAAATTAATATAAATGAATGTAATTATGAATTAAATAATTTTATATTTTATTATTTTATTTGTTTATCATTCTTCATTATTTGATATATTATTTTATTCATTGTTAATTTATGTTTTGAATATTATATTTATCATTTATCATTTAATTTATCATATTTTATTAATTATTGAAATATTATATAAATACTTTATTATTTAATTTAATTTATCAATTAATACATTCTTTTATTTATGTCTTATTCATTATATTGTTCATATTTATTTCTTATTTAAATAATGAATTTAAATATAAAATAATAATAAAAATAAAGAAAGAAAAGAATAAATTAAGAATGAATAAAAATAAAAGATAATAGAATAAATGATTTCATATTTGTTTATCATTAATTATATCATTAATTATATTGTCATTTATTATAAATATATTGATTATTCATTTATTATTATATTTATTATCTTTTATCATATTTTATTATTATATTATTAAATAAAAATAAAATATAAAATGAAATAATGAATAAAATAAAAATAAAATGAAATATTTAATAATTATGAATTTATTAAAAATAAAAATAAATATCATTTTATTTTATTTCTTATTATTTATTGTTTTTCATAACAAATATCAATTAATAAAAATAGAATGATGATAAAGAATAAAAAAGAAGAAATTAAAATATAAAAATAAAAGAACTAATAAAAACAACTAATAAATAATAAATCAATAATGAAATTAGGATATAATGAAATAATGATAACATCAATGTATTTTAATGATATTAATGATTTTATTAATTTAGAAATAGGAATTAAAAGATTTCAAGGAAATATGGAACGATTTCATTTTAATCCAATTCCATTAAATGAATATTCAAGAAAATTGTTTCCTAGTATTGAAACATTTCATATTTATAATGAAAAAGATGAAATATTTAAAGATGGAAAAATATTTAAAAAAGTAATATGGTATTTAGTAAGTTATTCAAAATATTTACAAGAGAAAGAAGCATGGAATGAATGTAAAAATATAAAATATACAGAATATGATAGATGGAAATATGGAAATACAATACCATCAGAAGTTAAATCACTTGAATATAATTGTTTTTCTGAATGTTATTCATTAACAACAATTAATATACCATCATCAATTACATCAATAGGAGATCGTTGTTTTTATAGATGTACATCATTAACATCAATTAATATACCAACATCAGTCATATCATTTGAAACTAATTGTTTTAAAGGATGTACATCATTAACATCAATTAATATAGATAATATACAATTTATTAGTGAAAAAAGAATATTTATGAATGAGCCAGTGTTAGTTAGTATTAAAATACCAGAAAATCTACAAATAATCAATGGAAAGAATATTGAAAAGAAAGATATTAATGAATTTATTATTCCATCTTCAATTACTAAATTAGATGATTGGTGTTTTTGTGAATGTTCATCATTAACATCAATTAATATACCATCATCAATTACATCAATAGGAAATGGTTGTTTTTATGAATGTACATCATTAACATCAATTAACATACCATCTTCGATTACTTCATTTGGGGATTGGTGTTTTAATACTTGTTCATCATTAACATCAATTAATATACCATCATCAATTAAAGAAATAGGAAATTGTTGTTTTTATGAATGTTCATCATTAAAATCAATTAATATACCATCATCAATTACATCATTTGGATCTGGATGTTTTTACAAATGTGGATGTGTTGAAGAATTAATGAAAAATAAAACAATACCAAGAAATTGTTTTAACAAATGGTGATGAATGAAATAAAAATACAATAAATGAAATACAATATAATTTGAAGTAGAAATAAATTATAATTGATTATCATTTATATTATTATTATTCTTTTCTTATTTATTCTTTTTGATATTATTCTTTTCTATTTTATTGATTGATATATCATTCTTTATATTTGTTTTATAATTCTTTTTTTATTCTTTATTTCTTTTTATTTTATTTTTATATTCTTATTCTTTCTTTCTTTTTTATTTTATTTCTTTATTTTATTTTGTTTTATATCTTTATTTTATTTTGTTTATTATTTATTATATATTTTATCTTATTTATCTTCTTATTTATTTATTTTATTTATATTTTATATTTATTCATTCTTTATTCATCATTTTGTTTTAATTTATATTAAAATTATTTAGAAATGAGAGAATATAATGATGAATTTGATTTTATATTTTGATTATTTCATTAATGAAATTGTTGATTATTGATTATTGTTGTTAATTTTCATATTTCATTTTATTTTATTATTATTATTTTATTGATGATTTCATTATATTGATTGTTTATGATACAATTATATTCATTAACCACTTCATTCTTATTCTTCTTTTATTCATCACTATTTGTTTCTTATTCATCAATTTGAATTATTGACATCATGCATTGTATTTTCATATTCTCAACAGATTACTTAATAATAAGATGAATATAAAATCAAAACTACCAGAATTCATGTTATTAAATTAATCAAATTATCACTCTTCGACTTGACAACAAAATGGGGTTGTGTTTGTATCTAATCTCTGATATTCCTTCTTCACTATTACTTCACTATTCTCTGGATGTTCAATTCGAGTTATTCTATTTCTTTCCCCTATTCTTCTTGTCTCTACATATTGAAGAACATTCGTCATGTGTCGATTGATTTCTCAGTTCTTTTTGGTTTCAAAATTAAAAATAGATTAGATACATTAATCATCGTAGAACTTTGAATAAAAGGATGGAAGGTGATTTGGGATATCTTCTTGATTCACAATTCAGGAGAATGAAAGAAAATGAAGAAGAATATAAAACAGTATGTATAAGGATTAATAAAATGAAATGAAAGAAAGAATGTGAGTAAAATCATTGTTGGGATGATTTCTGATGAAACAAAAGAAATAGTTTCTGAGATGAGATGTATAGAAATACCAGAAAGTGTTGTATTCAATAACAAAGAAAATGAATATGAAAAGAAGAGTCTTTGTATTTGTTGTATTAATGAAGAAATGAAAAACAAAGGAATTCATATTAACAACTATAACATTGAAAGAATTGGAATAATTGCAATGAATGAAATTATGTATGGAAGAGAAAGAATTGATAGTATTCAAATTAGAAAAGTGAATAATAAACAAAAGACAATCAAAGAAGTGATTGAAGAAGAAGAGATGAAACAAGAAAAATGTCAAATTGAAATAGGTATAGGAGGAACAAATAATGAGATGATAAGTTTTGATGAACATGAAATAAAACAATACAAAGAAGAAAAGTATATTATATTTATTAAAAAGATAGAAGGAATTAAAAAAATTAAACAAGGAAGAATTGAAATTGAAAGTGAAGGAATTATAGAAATGAACAAAGAAGAAATGAAAAAGATTAAAACAATAATAGAAACAAAAGAAATTATGATAATGTTTAAAACAAAAAAACAAAATAAAAAAATAAATATTTTGTTTAATAATAAAGGAGAAGAATATAAAGGAGTTATTAATTTATCAACAATAAGTTGTAATAAAGAAGAAAGAATAATAATTGGATATAAAAAAGAAAGAAATATTAGTATAATATATCTTGTTATAGGAAATTGTACACAAAAAGTTAATTGTTTTGAAATATTTAAATATAATGAAAATGAATTAAATAAACTTTCTAATTGTCAATATAAATATAATGGATATGAAATTATATTGTTTTTTCTTAAACAAATACTGATAAGAAATGATGTAATAAATATAAATAAATTAACATTTATTATATCAAAATTATCATCTATTTCTTTTTTATTAACTCAAAAAATTATTTCTCAAGTGATTTCAACAATTATACAAAAGAATGAATTGAAAACAGATCTTTTTATACAAATTATTACTAAATATATAGAAAATATCAAAACAACTTCTGATTTTAATATAAATCCAGAACCTTATATTATAGGAATTGGATTTTTCATTAATATGATTTCACTTGTATTAGAACAAGATGATATAAAGAAATATTGTCAATCAAATATTCATCAAATATTAATTCATCTTATCAATACATTTATTATTTTTAAAGATTATTGTATAAAATATTATTGTTTTAGAAATGTAAGTTATCAATTTGGGAGATTAATTAATAAAATAAACACTATAATTAATGAAGAAATTCAACAAATTAATCATCAAATTGATGTATCAGAATCTTTTAATCAATTCATCATTAATCAAGAGTTTTACAAAGGAATCTTCTCAATAAAAACACAAAATGAAGTAATAAATAAACAATTTGTACAATATTGGAAATATATTGTTGAAACATTAAAAATATCAAAAAGAACAAGTTATATAATTACATTCTTATTCTACAATAAAGAAATTATAAAAAGAATTAATAATAAAACAAAAGAAATATGTATTAAAGAATATTTGAAAGAGAGTAATAATATTGTAGAATGGCAAAATAAAGGAGAAGAATGGGAACATATTATCTTTTATTGTTGTTTTTTGATGATGATTCAGAATAATAAAATAATGATGAATGAAGAAGAAGAAGAGAAAATGGCAGATACAATAAAATTTATTCTAAAAGGGTATCAAAAAATAGGAAGAGATATAAAAATTGTAGAAAGAATTAGAAATACAGAAATAGATATTGATAGAATGATAAAGAGAGAAGAAATAAAAGGAAGGATAAGATATGAAGAAAGAGAGAAAATAGAAATAAATAAGAATGAAGAATATAAATCTATAAGAAGAAATGAAAAGAAAGAAGAAGAAAAGTATAAAATAATAGAAACAGAAGGAAATATTGGACGACCAATGAAAATGACAATAACACTTAAAGAAATTTATATTGAAAGTGGAAAAATAATCATTCAAGAAGTTACTAATATATTAAATAAAAAAGAAGAAATAAAAGAAAAATATATTGATATAATGGTAAATCTATTATTTTATATTCCAATGAGAAATGATTATTTAGATCAACTCATTGATGGAATAGATAAAATAATAATAAGAGAAAATATAGATTATTTGAAAATAAAAATATTTTCATTTCCTTTAATTAGAAATATCATAAAAATGATGAATGATAAAGAAAAGACAATTAGAGAGAAATGTTATAAATATTATAAAAGAATACTTGAAATAGATTATAAATATCATAAAACACTTTCAAATACAACATATTATTCAATTACAGCAATTACAGAACTTCAATTAAAAGAAAGTATAAAGTTAGAAGAAACATTAGAAGCAGAAATAAAGAATAAAGAAGAAAAGAGTTTATTTAAAAATGATATAAATAAAGTTATCTTTCAAATTAAAGAAATTTTAAATGTTTCACATGAATTAATTAAAATGGACAAATATAAAACAGATATGAATCTTATTCAAGAAAAATATATTGAAATTTCAAAGAAATATCAAAAGTATCCAAGATTATATTATACATGGATTGATAAAGTTGTTCAAACACAAGAAAAAAGTGGGAATTATATTGAAGCAGGAATTGGAATGAATAAAATAATTGAAATAATATGGTATTGTATTAAACCAATAAAAGAAGATTA